TGTGTGTGTGTGTGTGTGTGTGTGTGTGTGTGTGTGTGTGTGTGTGTGTGTGTGTGTGTGTGTATATATATATATATATATATATATATATATATGTAAACACTGTACTGCATTGAATCCTATTGAGAAATAATAATGGTCAAGGAGAGACAGAACCAAAGAACACAACCAAACAACTATCCTTTAATATGAAAAATAGCACTCCACAATATTATACTTTAGAAAGATATACAGTAGTAACATAATGTAAAACAATGAAACTTTTTGTATCACGCTTGTGTTCAAATACTGCATAGTTGTTGAAAGGTTTATACTTATACCGCAACATCAATGCTAGTTTTGTTAGCCTGCCTATGTAATTTTGCATTGTGTGTTAGCATTAAGCCAAGGTTTGCCTTTGTAAATACGCAAAGTTTAAATACCTTGTTATTATTATAATTGTCCTTTAGTCTATATTTATAGCCCTCTGTAGAAGAGCTTCTACATCAAGGTAGTTTGTTTCGCAGAATATATAGAAACTGTATGCAGTCTGTTTTGTAAACTGGTCTTGAGTTGCTTTTTTGTGGAGCAATAGCTATTTATTGTAAATGTGAGATTTATCATCGCATGTCTGATTCTCACTCTATACGTGGTGCACCTGCAACCGTATTGTTGAGCTCATTGTGCCTGCTGGCTTACATAGAGGTCTCATTATGAGCTTCAAAGAAAACGTTATTCATGTTTAAACAAAAGGGCCCCGTTGCCTCATGCAGGGTAAACATGGGTGAGGTGGCCTTTTATTGTTCGCGGGGAAGAAAAAATAAAACAAATTCAAGCTCAACAAGGGACACTCGGGTGCTCTGTTGATGTTTGAGGCTGAGCAAACAGCTTCCTTTTCATGTCACTAACCAATCAGGCCTGATGCTTACTGGACACTTGGACGCACCAATGGAGACAAAATGGCCTCTGTGTCAACAAATGTATTTTGTGATTCATTCATGCTGCTTTGTCTTGTAACCCAATGAATAATCATCACTCTCATTCTCCTTTGTCATTTTATGAAAGTGTTCATCAGTGTTGACAAGAGACATGTTACATAAAAATAATGATGATGATGAACAACAACAACAAAATTTTATCTAAAATTTTTTTAAATTCAGTAGGAAACAAAACCAAGTTGTGTGAGTGGTGGCTTCAAACAATTTTCTTTGACACACTTTTTCAATTACATTTCTACATTTCTTATTTAGTTAGGAAGTGGTTGTAAACGCAGATTTGTTTGTTCGTTGTGCCCTTTTCAAGCAGTGTTTTTTCTTCCTTCTGATTGGCTGAAATCATCCCCATTACTTGACAGCGATACATTTCTTCACAGATATATATTTTCTAACTAACACTGTTTTTTGTTTAGGCCTGAGCTAACATTCTTTTTATGTGGAAATGTTTGATGGTATAATAAATCCATATTTAAAAAATCTCCGTTCTCATCTCAAAGCTTTACACTCGGTAACTGTCTATGCCCTGACCAAGATGGTAGAACGTGCAGGTGCAACGCAACTGGCATAACGTCACTTCCGGCTCAGCGTCTTCATTATAAAGGGAGAGCGGTGACGGTTATCTGTTGAAGGGTCGGTCTGGAGGCAAAGAATCCGGACGCCGGCTCCATCCCCGCTGAAGGACGGTTGAATATTAACACAAACGCCGCCGAAATGTGTCCGTAACTTATCAAATATTTTTTGATCCAATTTGATAAAATAAGCGTCTACTCCCGGAGACATTTTTTTTCTTTCTTCAAACATGATCGCGTTGCTGACTCTGACTATCCTCTTCAAAAGCGGTGAGAGAAGATGTTTTAAATTGCACGTTATCATATTTGAAATACATCACTTAAATCTTACTCATTTGAACCATTTTTGTGACAGTTTTGCCGTTGCCGGTGACTCAGAGTATGCTGGAGCATGACGACGTCAAGGTAGGAAATGCAAAATTTCAATTATATTCACGTACCTGAAGTGGACACGAGGTGGCCACTTCATTAGGTACAACTTTTCAGTTTCCTTGTATTGATTATTGAACAATGTTTGTCGTTGTGCCTACACTGTAGTTGGAAGGCGCAAGTGTACCTAATGTTCGGGCCTCCTGTGGGTGTAACCAACACACGGCAACACAAACACACGCAAAATCACACACAAATCCATTAAGTGAATTGTCCGCCGGGGGGGGGGGTCATCTCTGTATTAAAGGGAGAACAATTAACCAGATTGAACCTTGATTTTTTTTCGACACACACACACACACACACACACACACACACACACACACACACACACACTCACTCACTCACTCACTCACTCTATGTGTATTTATTTTCATGCATCGATTAAACATTTTTGTGTCGCCTTTAGGTGATGAAATGCGTGGTGGAGGCACTCGTGGATGTGCTGTCCAGGCCACGCCATCTCCCTGTCAGCCAGGAATGTCTGCACACACTCAGGACTGGTATTTTATTTTATTTTATTGTCTGTTTATTAATTCTGATAAAACTCCGTAAGATGTATCATCATGGTTTTCTTTATGGTGTTACTGAATCATCTTTTGATCGGCTTCTTCTTCGTCCGTAGGCACTCCAAATATTTGTGCACCAATTTACATTAGCAATTTACAATTAAATTAGCATATGTTGGCAAAAATAAATGATTTCATTATTATAAAAAATGTACAATTATTAATCGAATAATTTATTTAAAATATATATTTTGACAAAACTGAATGATAATTGCAACGTTAAGGGGTAAAATATTTGCCATTGTGCCTGAAAAAGTTGACCTATTAAAACAAATGCGCACAATAGTTGGCTACTATTGAGGAAAATCTAGATGTATTTCATACTACTCTGTATGAAATATAAAATGTAGATTGGGGTATCTACTTGAGGTGAGGTATATGTCCTCACTGCCCCGATCATGCGTCGTCACTCTCGAGTTGACTTGAGTAATGATGGCTGTGCTCTGGTGCGAGCACTGCTTGGCGTACTTCCATGTGGATAATGGATTGGTTGGTGCAATTGCATGCTGGGTAAAAATAAAAAAAAAGAATCTCCAACAGGAAGGAAAGATGAAGTTGCATGTTACCTTGATGATGTGCTTTTACCTGTGCATGTGTGTGCGTGTGCCCCTCCAAGACGACCACCTCCTGACACTCCTTCGACACTCCAATTTCCTGAAGGAGCTGCAGGACGTCGCCACCCAGGGTACGTTTTTTTTTTTTAATAATTGCAAATTGATCATGCAGGCTTCAGTTGATACAAAAAATGAGTTTGACACTTGCTGCTGAAGGCTGTAAATTTCCCCAGTGTGGGACAAATAAAGGATATCTAATCTAATCTAATCTAATCTAATCTAATCTAATCCCTGGCCCAGGTGGTGATGAGAGAGCCCGGCCGCCTGGAGGAGGCGCCATTGCACCGCATCATGAGATGCGAGCTTCTCAAAATGCAGACGGTGTCCCAGGTGAGCTCCTGAAAATTAATGTTGGGATTTATTTGCCTGTACCTTTTTTTTTTAACCTAACCTTGACGTTGCAACAATGCTAATACTAAAACATCATAAAGGAATAATACATGCAATTAATATAATAGTCATTGTCGTACCTAATACAATTTCCTATGGCTGAAATGCACTCCACGGGCACGTAGAGCTGCAAGTCATCTCTGCCAAAGCACTTTCGGAGAACCGGCTTGACTGCAAAAATCAATCTCTTATCGTAGTCAATTGAATTTCCCTTAAGATGGGTCCATGCTGAACGCACTCGGAGGCTCTGGTGAGCGCTCCATCGTGTCCCAGGAACCAAGGAGGTCGAAAGAGGATGAGGAGGAGGAGGAGGAGGCGGACAAGGGAGGACAAGACGAGAAGAGGGAGGACGATGACGAGCGTGAAGAAGAGGACAATAAAGGTAATGGTAACATATTTTACAGGCAAAAAATGATGTCCGATTAAGCCAAGCGCTTCGAAAGTCATTGATGGACACGCCGTCCATCGACACAAATTAAAAAGAACGTACATTAAGCTAAGTAGTACATTTTGCGGAAAAGGTCAAAAGGTTGCACACGAGACTACCACGATCATAAACATATTAAAGGCTGTGAACATTTCACGTTTCAGTATGGACATCAGAAGAACAGAGACGAACTGTCCCTGAAGAGGAGGAGAAGGAAGAGGAGGGAATG